GGCCATGGAGGAGGGGGCAGTTGGAGGAGAGGGGCAGAGAAGGGTGATGTCTTGACCGAGCCTGGCTGGGTGCTCATGTGCTCTCCCAGACCTCTCCTCGAGTCCTGCGTCCTCTATCTGATGGGAGGGGGCATTTAGGACCCCTCCACACCAGAGCCACTGTGAGTCCCTGTTCCCTACCCCTCTGCCCCCTGATGCTCGAAAGCCTGGGGCATAAACTTAGAAGGGAGTCAGGCACATCATTAGCAGCCTGAGAGGGGCCCGTCTCCCCTTTCTCCAGCCTCTAACACACACACACACACACCCCTCGCACTGATCCTCTTTCCCTGGGCCTCCAGAACTGAGCACACTCATTCAGCATATATTTATTGAACATCGACTGTGTGCTAGGAATAGAAAAATTTTGAAAGGTTGCACATGGCATGTGTGTCCATGAATAAGTGTGTGGCATGTGTGTCCATGAAGAGGTGTATGTGGGGGTGTGCCTGCACATGGCATCTTCCCCACGTGAGTAATTGTGTGCTGGTTAGGGAATAATGAAGAACATTAGGAGCGGAAGTGCAGCTGTGAGACAGCTTGTGTTTGAGTTGAGGTGCTTGCTGCCTCCTGCCAACCAGGAAACCTTTGGGTGAGTGGCGTGGCCTCTTTGGCCTCTGCTACTTGTCTGCAGATCCAGCCACAACAGTATTCCACCCCCTACCCTGAGGTTGTGAGCACAGAGTGAGCGAGAGCTCGAAGAGAGCACAGAACAGCCCCCAAAACGAAGCAGGGCCTCAGGCATTTTGTAATGGTTGTTGCCTTGCTCACCCAGCTCAGAGTTGGACTGGACAAGCTCTTAAATGACCTTCTCCAAGCCTCTCTTGCTCAATCTCAGTGACTCAGGCAGCACCTGTACGAACCACCTCCTGCCCCCCAGGCTCCTTCACAGCCCACAGCCCACAGCCTGCTGTCTAGACTATGGCTTGTCTTCTGCCCTTGATCGACCCCACCTCCACCACAGCTTGCTCCAGGGAGAAAATGACGTCACGCACAGAGTGTCAGCTCTGGGTCATGCTGTGACCCATCAGTTCTCTCTTAGATGGAAATGGAGGAGGGGGACATTGGGCAGCTGGGGTGGGGTCCTGAGGCACAAGGAATAGGAACTTGTTGGGGAGGAGGATGAGGAGATCCAGCTCAGGGGTTCCATCCCTGGCATGCAGAGTGGGCGGTCGCTGGCACCCATCTGGTACAGAAATGGCAGGGCCTCCTCAGGAGTCAGGGCCCAGCTGTGCCAAATTTGCAGTGACACTGTGACTCCTCTCTTCTGGAACAGCTGTACCGCCCTCTGTGCGTAGGGCTCAAGGACGTGGGCAGGAGCGTGGGCTTAGCCAGGGCAGGGATGGTTCAGACACACACTCATGCACACATACTCACACCACTCTATGTCACACACACATAATCACAGCCGTCCGTGAGTATGCAGAGACCCGGCTGAGAAGCAAGGGGAAGAGGGTCAGTGCTAGTCCACCTGGCCCCGTGTGTGTGTCTGCCTGCGCCTGTTGTGAGGGTAAAGGTAGGTTTGCTCTACCTCTGTCTCTTTGCTTGAGCCTCTCAGCAAGTCAGCAGCGAGAACTTTCCGTGTTGGGAGGGTGGGACAATATGGCTCATGCGGGCAGTGTGGGTCAAGGTCTTGTAAACACAAACCACAGGACATTCTTGTGTGTATTGCTCAGCTTCATGCACCTGGGGTTTATTCACATTTTAAAAAGAGCTGAGTGCTGCATGTGTGTTTGTGGCATTTCTGAGCGTCTCATGAGTGTGTGTGATTGTTTTTCTGCCTCCAAGTCTGTCTGTCTATAACTGGGAGTGTGTTTCTGTGCTGGGCCCACATCTAACCTGGTCTCTAGAGAGCCCATATCCAACCAGTCCCTCTTGGAGCAGCCAGGTTCCTCCACACTCAGAAAATCCCAGGTTCAAATTCAAGTGTAACCAATCTTTGGTTACACGGGCTGGACATGCTCTCACACACCTGTTTCCTCTGGAGACACGATAGCACTAGCTTCCTGGGGTTCTGGCGAAGTTAGCTGAGACCAAGGTGTGCTTGGCGTGGGTTAGAACGCAGTGTGTTAGGGATGTGCCTGGAGAGCTGTGGTGGTGGCTGTCACATGTGATACATGTGACACCTTAGCCAGACTAGAACCTGCCTCAGGGCATAGAGTGGTTCTTAATTACCTTTAACAATGCTCAGGACACCTGGGTGGCGCCTACCTAGTGCCTTGTGGATTTAACAAACACATGAAACCCAAGACAGGTGTCTGATGTCTTCCCACAGCTGTTGGCATTCGAGGGTGGCCAGGATCTGGTGAGATCATGTGACCACAGAGCCCCGTCATCATTGTCATCTCCTCTTCCAGCCCTTTGCAATCCCAAGCTCCTCCCTCCCTCCTGTCTCCTGGTCTGAGACCCACTGACAGTCTCCTTCCTTCATCTCTGCTTCCCCCTCCGAGAGTGCTGGCTAAGGTGCAGGGAAATGTGTTTGGGGCCAGAAGATGCTCTCAGTGCACACAACACAACTCTTGTAGTGTGTTTGTGACTGTTGTGTGTGAGAGACTGTGTGTGCGCTCGCGCCAGCATGCTTGGGTTCTGTTGGGGGTTGATGTCTCTGCAGGAAGCGCCTCTGCCTTATGCTGGCACATGCATGCATATGTGAGCAGCCTCGTGCCTGGGTTTCACATCCTCCCCCCAAGTTTCCAGTTACATAAGCATCTGCCATGCCCGGCCTGGACTGAGGGCGCCCCCTGCTGGAGCCTCTGAAACTAAGTCTGGGAAGAACGCGTTGGGGAGGCTGAGTCTCCCAGGGGCTCCTCCTGGCAACAGACCCTGTCTGGCTCTCAACACCTACCTACCTGTTCCTGCTCCCTCTAACCCTAGCCAGATCGGGTTCTCAGCTGCCTGAGTGTCTCTTGTGCAACAGCATAGTGGGATCGGTTATTACTTGCTTATGATGTGTCTTCCTGGCACTCCCATGTATCACGATGGCAGCGTTCATGTGGGCTCTCCAGGCCACTGTACAAACCTGGCCCAATCAATATGTGTGGAATGAATGAGTTTATAGGATGAACAGGCTTGGGAGGAGACACAGTGAGTTATGGGGAGGTTTAGGGCTTTGGGGGCAAATAAACCCGGGTTCCTCATTCCTTGCCACTTAAAAGCTGGGTGACCTTTGGCAAAATGCTTAACCCCTCTGAGCCTCAGATTTCTCCTGTGTTAAATGACACCACCTGGGAAAATCTCTGTAGAGACTAGAGACTAAAAAGGGCCTCCTTATTGTGCTGGCATCCCATAAAAGGCCTCATTATCATGGTGATTGGCAATATCCCTCATCTCTCAAGCCTCAAGAAGGCATTATGTCCACTACACTTGCAAATAACAGGAGTGTTTTCATCCAAAATTTCCCCTGTGGCTTTTAGTTTTCACACAGCTCTGTCTGGCCTGTGAATGGGTTTAAGATGAAATGGATCTGGAGACATGGGAGTGAACAGGCACCTGCTGCCCCCTGCTGAGTTGGAGGGGATGGTCACCTCCAAGTTTCTCTGGTCTCTCTCTGAATAGAAAGTCCAGGCAGGCCTGGTTGGACCTATGCCCCTTCCTCCTCTGACCCCAGTTTACTCCTCTGAAAAAGGGATGAAGGGGGTGAGCGGGAGGGTGGGGGGCTGAATGGGGCCAGATGGGCTGCTAGGGTCATCTCCCATGGTTGCCACTTTACCAGCCTTAGCTTTGCAGACCTGGCTGAACCTCCCCTCATTCTGGTCCTATCTTCTGCACAGACAAAGGAATCAGAGGCTGGGAAGCAAGCTCTTCCAAGATCCAGTCTCCATGGCCAGCCCACCTTTCCAAGGACAGAGTCTCTCCTCCTGGAACTAGCGACCTCTCACTTTTAAATCATATTTTAAAACTGACCCCAAACAAAACCCCATTTATTTCGTGCAATACTGGACCAGCACCTTAAGTACATTATCTCAGTTGTCACCTGACCCGTTGGGGCTTCCCAGCTCAATCTTCAGACAAGAAAACTGAGGGTGAAAAAAGAAAAGAAAACAAAGGATGGAGGTTAAGCAACTTGATGGGATCACCGACCAGGAAGCACTGTTGCCCAGAGGCCACTCCGCAGCCACTGCTCCGCCTCTGCGGCGGGGGCGGCCCGCCGTTGCCAGTAACTTTTCCCGAGGCGGCGACACAGGTGCCCTTTCACCGCGGGAGCGGCACGCGGTCTCCAGCGACCTTGCGAAAGTCCTCGTGCCGGCCAGTCCCACGGGGGCAGTGCTGCGCGCGGCCTGGCAGGCGGGAGCTCCAGCATATGGCGCAAACGCTGCACTTCAAGTGCTCAACCAGGCACCCCCCCAACCCGCGCTCCACACCCGACTTTCAGGGAAAGTTGGGGTGGGGGCGTGCTGGAGTTAGGAGAGTCCTTGGGGTGGGTTGAACTCGGAGTGGGAGGCAATTTGGTTGAGCCCAGGGGCCGCCAGTCTGCCCCAGCTGGGGTCAGGAGTTGGGGGGCTGGGAATCAGGGCGGGCCAGGACCGGAGTTCGGGAGCGGCCAGGTGTCAGGACCAAGGGTTCCGGGCAGGGTCAGGGACCTGGGTTCAGGGTCAGGACGTCAGTGCGCTGGGGCGGGGTGAGGGTGGAGTTGGGCATCCAGCCTGGGTTCGAAACCCCAGGCCTGGAGCCCGGGTGGGGCGGGGCCAGAGTCCAGGGGCGGGGCTTAGGGCCAGAGGCGGGGCTTGGAGCTCCCGTGGAGCGGGGCTGGGGGCGGGGCGGGGCCGAGCAGGCGGGGCGGGGCGGGGCCAGAGTCGGAGGGGCTCGCGGGCAGGCGGCCAGAGGCGGGGCGGGGGCCGGGGCGGGGCGGGGCGGGCCCGGGGCGGGGCGGGCCGAGAGGCGGGCCGGGAGGCGGGCTGCGGGCGGGGCCGGGCGGGAGGGGCGGTCTTCCGAGTCGCGGGCGGGCGGAAGCGGCGAGAGGAGGCGGGAGGAGGGAGGGGAGCTGGCAGCTCCCGCTCGGCTCGGCCAGCCTCGCGCACCCCCGCCTCGCTGCTCCGCTTCGTGCCCCCACCCGGGCATGCGCCCCCCGAGCCCCCGGCAACCCCGAGCCCACGCCGACCCCCGCAGCCCCCCTAGAACCGGCCCCGCAGCATGGGCGCCCTGGACCCCGCGGCGCCGCCGCTGCTGCTACTGCTGCTGATGCTGGGTAAGTGCGGCCCCGCCCGGCCCCCCAGGCAGGTGCCTGCCTTGCCATCCGGAGCCCTCGCACCCCTTTCTCCGTTGGGCGCCTCCCCCTGGGCTCGGCGCTCAACTGCCCTTTGTGGCCGCCTGGGGCCGGTCCTGGGAGGCTAAGGTTCCCCAGCTCTAGGCCCCGGGCGGGGCGCGGGAGGACGCACCCCTTGGCTCCCGGGGACAGCCAGACCTCTGGACAGTGTCCACTTCTCAGCGTTGCACACGCAGGGCCTAGGGTTCTACTCCCGTGCCTCAGACTTAGCTGCAGGCCCAGCTCTGGGTGCCCGCCCTGCGTGGGCAGTGCCTGTTGGTCTTCCTAATTGCCCGGTCTTGGCTGGAGGCCAAGGGGCCGGTAGTGCTCTTTGAAGTCTTTCCTAATTACCCTATCCCCCCCACCCCTGCCACCACCATCTGAAGCTAGGGTCAGTTCCCTCTCTCGCCCCCCTACCCTGGGTGGGTTCCCTCTCTCAGATGACACTTGGCTCTGTGGTCAGCCACCAAGTGTCACACCTCTTATCCTGGTTTCCTTACCCTAAGAGAAACTGGGATACATGGAGACAGGTGCAGGGACCTCCAAGCACCCTGTATCTGTTGTGGTGCGTGTTCATGGTGGAATATTCTGGTCCACTCTCCATGAATGCATGAAGACAGTGGGATTGTTTTGGCCTGAAGTGGAGGGCTCCCTGTAGGAGGTGGTCAGGGGAGATTATGGCATGGGGACAGTGAGACTGCTGGTGTTGATGTTCAGGAGACTCAAGGCCTTGAAATGAGTGCTGTCAGACTAGGGGTGGAGAGTGGTCTTGCTGCCAGGACTCAGAGCTGTCAGTCAAGGCACAGGATGACGCAGTTCAGTGTCTGCTTCTAGACCACAAGCTTATCCTTGGGGCCCTGGGCCCTGGGGGACTAGAAAGAGACCTCTCCTTGGGGCCCTGGCAGGAGGCAGGAGGCTGTTTAAAGGAAGGAGCCTTGGGGTGGTTGCCTAGCACTTGCTTGCTTTCCCCTGTGGGCAGCTAGGAGCAGAGATGAGCTGGGGTTGGGGTGGGGTGAGTGGGGAGTGGTGCACAGAGCCTGAGGAGCTGCTGAGACAGAGTGCCCACTGCTTCAGTTGCAGATGAAGCAAAGGGAGTAATTGCCCCAGAGAACATAACTAGGGAGGGTTGGGTGTTGAATCCAAATCAGTATGAATCCAAAGCAGATCTCTCCTCCCTGTTCTTTATTAGCACAGAGGGAACCTGGCTGACAGAGGGCTCCCTGGCTGCTGGTTTCCTAGGGCAGTGGAGTGGCTTTCCCATGAGGATTTCTGGGAATCAGCAATTGTAGAGCCAAGAAGGTGGGAGTGGGCCCTTTTGAGCAGTCTTCCCGGAGGCCTCTAGGGAAGGTGTCTGCTGTCTTTGCCATCACCCTGATTATGAAACACCCTGGGGCAGGAATGACCTGAGTCACAACTCCATCCCTGGCAGAGCTTGGAGCTCCTGTTCTCCTCCAGCATGGAAACTGAGGCCTGGGAAGTGAAGAGACACTGGGCCCATCGCCTGTGCTGGAGCCTGGGCTTCCTGATGTCCAGCTTGTGCTCTGGACACGTGTCCTTCCCCCGTGACTCAGTTACAGGAAGAAGGGGCCAAGGGCCCTTCTGGGTGAGACAGTCAAGGGGAGCTCTGGAGGAACTGGAGGACAGAGTTGAAGCACAGACTCTTGCGGTTCAGCCCCTGCAGGGATGTGTGGGTGTGCTCCTTAGGTAAAGTTCTGGTTGGTGAGGTCACCCCTTCAGGCTTTGGGCTTCACCACCTTCCTCCCAAGCTTATTCCCTCTGTAGGGACACCTGGATGCCACGTAAGACAGGAGGATCTTGCCCAAGACTTTATAGCTTCCCGCCTTACTTTTCTCTCCTATAAAATGGAGGCAGAAGGTTAACACAGCCCTGCTTACTTTCTGGGGTGCTGTGATCTCATGTAGTAACAGCACTGTAGAGGGGTGCAGAAGAAATGGAAGAAATTGAGCTCTCTGAGGTCACCAGGAGGGGCGGGGGAGGGTGAAGGTTTTGGCCTTCCCAGGTGGGAAGGGGCTTCTGGGGGTTAGGGCCTCCCCACTTAAGAGAGCTTTATGTAAATGACTGTACGTCATATGCAAATGAAGGCTTTGTTAAGGAGCTGGGGGACTCTGTGCCTCAGCTGGCACTGGGAAGATCGACAGGCACTTGGGGAGGGGATTGTCCACCCCAGAGCTGAGCAGGGGCTAGTTCTCACCGCCTGAGCGCCAGCTGCCAGGCTGTCCTATGGGTGGGAGAAGCAGTGAGCTCACCACACAGCTGGATGGGGCAGACACTGTGTGGTGAGAACAACTGCTCTGTGCCGCCCAGTGCGGACCACGGGCTCCATTGTCTGAGTCCCCTGGCCCAGGTGACACAGCTGAGCCAACCGGCACTTCTGAACAAGATTATGCCAGCTACCCTCCAGTTAAAGAGAGGGATCTGTGGTCTTGGAACCTCTAGATAGATGACTCCCCCTGACTATGCCCTGAAGGAGAACCACAGAGACTTGGGAGTAGGGGATCAGGGGAGGAAACCAGGACAGTTGGAATGAGGAAGCTTAGATCTGGAAGCAGCTGGCTCCAGTCTGCCCTCAGGGGTTAAGGCAAAGCTGGATCTGCCTCTTCTCCAAGCACCTTTGCCCTGTTCTCAGAAGCTGGGGGCCAGCTTTCCTCAGATTTCCTTTCCCTTTACGGTGGGGGTCAGGCATGCTGCTGGGGAGGAAGCAAATGAGGACCAGACATCCCCACCTTTGCCTTCCTTCCCTACAGGAGTTGGGTGCTGGGCCCGGGAGGTGCTGGTCCCTGAGGGGCCCTTATACCGTGTGGCTGGCACTGCCGTCTCCATCTCCTGCAATGTCACCGGCTATGATGGCCCAGCCCAGCAGGACTTCGAGTGGTTCCTCTACAGACCTGAGGCCCCAGAGGCTGCGCTGGGCATCGTCAGCACTAGGGATGCCCGATTCTCCTATGCGGTCTTTGGACCCCGCGTGGCATCCGGGGAGGTGCAAGTACAGCGTGTGCAGGGCGATGCAGTGGTGCTCAGGATCGCCCGCCTGCAGGCCCAGGATGCCGGCATTTATGAGTGCTACACCCCCTCCACTGATGCCCACTACCTGGGCAGCTACAGTGGCAAGGTGGAGTTGAGAGGTACGTGTGCTGGCTGGGGTGCCACTCCCCACAGGTAGAAAGCCAGAGCTTGGGAGGGACCTGTCCAGCCACCCCCCAGGTTTGCTGTCTGAGGAACCTGAGGCCCAAAGAGGTGAGGTGCTTGCCCAGAGTCACCCAACAAGTCGATGACTGGCAGAGGACCCTAGCCCAGGTCTCCTTCCAGCTCATTGTGCTCTGTCTGTTGAGCTGCCTCCTGGCTGGGTGTCCTTAAGCTTATTAGTACCCTGGCCATTTCTCTGCAGGGTGAACAAGCTCCAGATCTAGAGGGGGAGGTACAGAAAGCAGAAGTGGAGGGGAAGGAGTTGGGCTACATGCCATTCTTGCTCTCTTAAGTTCTTTTGTTTTCAGAGAAGGATGACAGCCACTTTTCTGAGTATTTTACATAGGGGTCAAGCCCAAACATGAGGATGAGTAGGTGATAGGCTGGTTCTGTGAAATTCAACAAGTATTTATTGAGCAGATAGTATGTGCCCAGTGCTGTTGGCACCATTGGGTTATAGAAGAAGTACCACCATGTGGAACCTTTGCCTTCCTGGAGCTCTATTTAGGGAAATCTGTAAACATGGGACGCAGTGATGGGGGGGCAACCCTCAGCCCACCTCACCCCAGCTATTGTCTCCAGTTCTTCCAGACTTGCTGCAGGTGGCGGCCACTCCCCCAGGGCCCCGAGGCCGCCAGGCCCCAACATCACCCCCTCGCCTGACGGTACATGAGGGGCAGGAGCTGGCTCTTGGCTGCCTGGCACGGACAAGCACACAGCAGCACACACACCTGGCTGTGTCCTTTGGGCGGGCAGTGCCTGAGGCACCTGTGGGACGACCCACGCTGCAGGAAGTAGTGGGACTCCGGCCCAACCTGGCCGTGGAGGCTGGTGCTCCCTATGCTGAGCGATTGGCTGCTGGGGAGCTCAGGCTGAGCAAGGAGGGGACTGAGCGCTACCGCATGGTGGTGGGGGGTGCCCAGGCTGATGACGCAGGCACCTACCATTGCACAGCAGCTGAGTGGATCCAGGACCCTGATGGTAGCTGGGCCCAGATCGCTGAGAAGAGGGCTGTCCTGGCCCACGTGGATGTACAGACGCTATGTGAGCACCATATACCCTAACGAGGGGTCAAGGGGAGGGTGTCCCAGTGGGCATCATGGCTGCAAGAGTGCAAAACAGACATCGTCTGACTCACCGGGAGTCCCCCTTCTCTAGTCACAAGCATTGTCCCTGTTCAACCCAGGATGTTTTCTCTGTTTAGAAATGGGGTGTGGGTCTGGTGTGGGGAATGGTCCTGCTCTGAGGGGCAGGCAAGAGTCTCCAAGTTGCTGCTGTCAAGGCAGAAGCTACAGTTGGAGACTAGAGGCTCTGTGCCCCTCCTGCCTTCATGACATCCCTCCCTCTTATGTTTCAGCCAGCCAGCTGGCGGTGGCAGTGGGCCCCGGGGAGCGACGCATCGGCCCCGGGGAGCCACTGGAACTGCTGTGCAACGTGTCAGGGGCGCTGCCCCCACAGGGCCGTCATGCTGCCTACTCTGTGGGCTGGGAGATGGCCCCTGCAGGAGCACATGGGCCTGGCCGCCTGGTAGCCCAGCTGGACACGGAGGGCGTGGGGAGCCTGGGCCCTGGCTACGAGGGCCGGCACATTGCCATGGAGAAGGTGGCATCCAGGACCTACCGGCTGCGGCTGGAGGCTGCCAGGCCCGGTGATGCGGGTACCTACCGTTGCCTCGCCAAGGCCTACGTTCGAGGAACTGGGGCCCGACTTCGGGAGGCTGCCAGTGCCCGCTCCCGGCCCCTCCCTGTGCACGTGCGGGAGGAAGGTAAGGATGGGGCCTCGACAGGGTTGGGCACAGAACGCTTTTCCTTTTTCTCTGTTGCTCTCCCCTCCATCACCAGCTCCATGCCTCTATCCTGCAACCCTCCTCTTGGGGGAACACCCTGGTTTCCTGGGGTGTTGCTTGGACAGCCTCTGACCTTCGTCCTCTGTCTTTATACTTGGCTCTGCAGGTGTGGTGCTAGAGGCTGTGGCGTGGCTCTCTGGAGGGACTGTGTACCGAGGGGAAACAGCCTCCCTGCTCTGCAACATCTCAGTGCGGGGTGGCCCCCCTGGGCTGCGACTGGCTGCCAGCTGGTGGGTGGAGCGGCCAGAAGAGGGGGAGCTGAGCTTGGCCCCTGCCCAGCTGGTAGGGGGTGTGGGCCAGGATGGAGTGGCAGAGCTGGGGGTCCGGCCTGGAGGAGGCCCAGTCAGCGTGGAGCTGGTGGGGCCAAGATGCCATCGGCTGAGGCTGCACAGCTTGGGACCTGAGGACGAGGGCGTGTACCACTGTGCCCCCAGTGCCTGGGTGCAGCATGCGGACTACAGTTGGTACCAGGCAGGCAGCACACGCTCGGGACCTGTCACCATCTATCCCTACACTCATGGTGAGCACCCTGCCCCCTCACACCTTCCCCATTTGTGGCTCCTCTTTCCATCCATCCACCTGCTCCCATTTGTTGCACATCACTCCATTCCAAGGCCTTAAATCCCTGCCTTCGGCCCCTTGGTGTCCCTGATTGAATGATGGTTGCTGAGTGTCGGGGCGGGAGGTGAGGGTGGTGTAGTCGGGAGGAGGTGTAACTCGGCCTGCTGGAGAAATGCTGTAGACAGCTGTGAAGGACGGCAGCATGCACTAAACAGTCATCCTCTCCCACCCAGCCCTGGACACCCTGTTGCTGCCCCTGCTGGTGGGTACAGGGGTAGCCCTAGTCACTGGCGCCACTGTCCTGGGCACCATCACCTGCTGCTTCATGAAGAGGCTGCGGAAGCGGTGATCCCTCACTCTTCAGGTGAGGGAAAAGACCTCCCCACCTTCACTTCCCAATCCTGGGATGAGCTCTCCCTTCCCGTGCCTCTGGGGAGCAGCAGCCAGCTCTGTCTGCAGGGGCCTGCTGAGGGTGAGGGCCGGAACTGTGCCCCACAGCCTCTCTCCTTAGTCTATACTGTCTCTCCAGTTCTGCAGGTGTTGACTGTCTCCCGGTACGCTCCCACCACCTCTGGTTGCCTGGATACTCTCCCCCCCCAACCTTGCCCTTTAATTTATTTGACCAACCCTGACCCAGGGGGATCCTGGCCCTCTCCCCACTTCTTCCTTCCCCACTTCCTTCCCCTGGCCTTCTGTTCTTGGTCTCGTAACCTGCCCGCAGGCAGGCCATTCCCTTTCCCAGAAATAGTTTTTCTAAAATGTGAATAAATTTGTTTTCTAAAACCGAGGGCTGGCTGTGTCTTCCCTGCTGGAGGCTACAAAAAGGCTGGGGTGGGTAGCAGAGGTGGTTGGGGGTTGACAGCTATTCTGGACGACCCAGGCCTCTCTTCTACAACAAACACCATCTGGCCTCCGTGGGCCGTGCCACCCACCCCAGGGGGGGACACCTGGGTCCCATCTGCCTTCTGAGCTGTCAGTGTCTTACCAAGGCCTGTGGGGACTCCTACTCGAACTGGGCCCCAAAGAGGGCGGGGAGTTCCAGCTGAGCTTGCCACCCCCTACCCCAGTCTTCTTGCCAGAACAGGTGGGCCTTTTAGGGCCAGGGCCCTTTTCTGAGTTCCCCACACTGCTTGGCTTGCCTCATTCGTCTGGTCCAGGTTGGTTCACCCCTCCACGCATGCCCCCACCCCCATCCCGGCCTCAGCCTTTTCTTCCCATTGTCTTTACTCTCTGGCAGCAGCAGAAGAGCAGCCCAGAATACAGCTGGGTACCAGGAAGGCAGCAGTCAGGGGCCCACAAGCTCTGTCCACCTGACCCCACAACCCACACTCACCCCCAGGCGTCACCTCATGCCCCTCCTGTGCCCAGAGGTCCCGGAAGTTGTCTCTACCAGAAGATCCTCTGACCTGGAATCTTCACTGCAGTGTACCTAAGAAGCACCCAGTCTACCTCCTTTAGTTCAGTCATTGAAACATTTATTGAGCATTGCTAGTTTGCTAAGTGTCGTTTTTACAGATGGGGAAACTGAGGCCCAGAGAAATGATGTGCTTTGCCCAGAGTCCTAGAGCTGACTGGTGACAGTATCAGGGCTGGATCCTTGATCTCAAGACTCTTGGCACCTCAGTGCCTGCCCATTCAGGTGATGGGTTTCCTGCCAAGGGAGTGTGGCTATGAGCAGCCACCCCTCCTGCCAGCTTCACCTGTTTCTCTGAAACAGACCATATGGCTCCCTGCCCACATTCCAACACCTTTTCTTGGGGGAACAGCTGATTTAAGCATTCAGGGGTGACCACATCTGGCTGATGGTGGCCCAGGTAGCCCTGTGACCCAGGCAAAGACCACCTCTGGGTCATGAGCCACCTGGGCTCCCTCTTCTCCCCTTTCTGCTCCAGGGTTACTGTGTTCTACTAGACCCTGCCCCCCTCCCACACCCCACCCCCGCCCCCGCCCCACGCATGCAGCCGGTAAGCCGCTCTCCCAAGGGTCAGATGGGAGTGGGTGGAGCCAGGCCAGACTGAGGTCCCTGCGCCAGGCGCTATAAGTCCTCTCAGGAGGACACCTTGGTCCCCTCCACCTAAGCCCTCTCCACTTGCCATTGGTCCCCCCACCATTCTGAGGGCTTCCCCAAGTGACTAGGATGCCACCAGGAAGAGGTATATGGGACAGGGTTGTGTCTCCAGAGGCTCCTATCCTCATTGGACAGACAGATATCACAGAAGTTTGGAGTCCTCATGTCTCACACATTTCCTCCCACATTCGCTCTTGCCCTTAAGTTCTGTGAGTGACCTCCTGACTGCTTCCTCTCCTCTAGCTGCCTCCTCATCTTCCCAAATACCAGCCCCAGTTTGTCTCTGTCCCATTTTCAGTGACAGCAGTTTCTGGACTCAGAGTTAAACTCTTCAGCCTGTGTTTTGGGATCTCCTGTCCCCAACAGCATCCTCAGTATCTGCTTCCTTGGGCCCACCTCCTTAGAGCAGTGGTTCTCAAAGTGTGGTCCCTGTTCAGTAGCATCAACAAGACCCATGTAAGAGACTCACATTTTTGGTCCCCATGCCAGACCTACTGAGTCAGACACTCTGGGGAGGGGACCACAGTCTGTCTTACAAGCCCCCCAGGTGATGCTGACTCAGTCTGGTTTTATACCTGTCGGCTTACAGCCTGACTGGTGCCTTGCTCGACCCAGCTTTCTGATCACCAATACTTTCCACCCCCAGCTTGCAGGGGTTGCTTGGGCCCAAGTTTGTACCATGCCCTGTGATATGGCCACAGGCATATTTCTTCCCAAATATGTACTGTTTTCCAAGAAAAGAGGCAGGTCCCTGAGTGTCCACATGCAGCAATGGGTCAGTGCTTGTACCTAGGTCACCCAGTGAACAATGGACAGCCAGTGAGCACTCCGAGTGATCCCTCTCACTGTGCCCCCAGACAAGACCTGCTTCCCCAAGCCAGTTCTCTCGTAAACTCACTTTCTCTTCTCTCCCCAGCCCTTCCTTTTCTGAACCCCTGCCCTCCTGCCTCAGCAGGGGCACCTAGGGGACCCCATTCCATGTCTGAAAGCAGTCACCTTGTTTTCCTTCCCAGGCCCTGCCAACTTCCCCAATGCGCAATTCCCCTGCACGTGGACAAGGTCACTGCACCCTCTGAACAGCCCTGAACGAAGCCTTTCATCCTTCTGCTGGGTGTCGCAGAGCTGGGGGAGGGCAGCCTCCCCATCTCTGCCACTTCCACAATGCTCTGCCCTGGGTCAGCTCAGGCCACTCTGTCCAGTGAGTCAGTAGTTTGCTGAGGGGGGAATATGGATGAAAATCCACCCATACCTTGCTCCGCAAGCCATGTACCCTGGCTAGGGTGGCACAGCCTAGAAGAAAAGGGTACCTTTTAAGGATTTGCACAAAGATGATCTAGGGGTTAGCAGCAACCCTGGACATACAGCCTGTCTGTTGGTCTGTCCACCAGCTATCTCTGCTACCACCTTCCCCTCCAGCCCATATAGGTTCATCCACCCATGGGCACATGTGAAGGTCAAAGACAGACCCATCCCCACCCTCCACTGTCCCATATCAGATCCCAGACTTGGGATTCTGAGAGGGCCTCCAGTTTTAGCTCATCCCAGGGACGCCATCCGCCTCTGTCTCCCCCTGCCATCTCTACTCCCCAGAGCCTGGGTCTGGCCCCAACACAGGGGTCTGGACAAAACTGTCACACCTTGGACTCGCTCTCTGGAGGAGGCAGGCAACCATTCTGTTCCTTGTCAGCCCCTGCGCCCTCCCCTGCCCCTTCCTCCTCCACCTTCTCATCCAGTCGGCTGGGGATGGACCAGTAGAGATGGGCATCTAGGCGGGCTGCGGCCTCTGCCAGCTCGCGGGCACTGCACGAGGGCGTGGGCACCTCAAAGGTCTGGTGGAAGCTGGCATAGTCCACCTCATAGAAGCCATCCTCCAGGGTCAGCACGGATGTGAAGCGGTGGCCCCACAGCACCTCATCGACCAGGTAGGAGCTCCGAGCTTGGCACGTCATTCCTAGGGGAGGCACATAGGTCAGACACTACCCGCCCCAGGCTTCCCTCTCATTCCACAACTGACTCCCAGCACCCTTCCCTGGGCCCTTTGGACCCATTCTTTCCCCCTTCCCAGCTCCCATTCTATCCAGCTCCCTCAGTACTGCCCCATCTGTCCCACCTCCTCTTCATCTTCAGTTCATACTCTCTCTCCTCTCGGCTAGAAGTGTCAATCAAAGAAGCTTAACCTTGGGACTGACCTTAGAGACCATCTAGTCCAACTTCCCTCTCCACACTGGACTCTCCACTTAGACATTCCTAGTGTTGACATCTAGTGTGTACTTGCTTGCCTCCAGGGATTGAGAGCTCGCCACCTTATCAGGGGCCTACTTATTTGTGTGAAAGCACTAATATTTGGGTTGCTCTTCTTCATCCAGAGCTAAAATCTGCCTCCCAGGATTTCCACCTCTTGGTTTTATTCCCCTGCCATATGATACCCCTTCCTGGGTCTGAAAACAACACACTTAGGTTTCATCATGTCTTCCCTTCAGTGAGCTGAAATTCCTGACTACCTCTCCCATTCCTCTTGGGGTCTGGCTTCTAAAAATTTTTACCTTCTTCTAATCAGAATGGCCACGAAGAACCTCCATGCTCTTTGAGGGTGATCAATACTCCCAGAGTGGTCCCAGTTCATGCCTCAGAGAGGTCTTGTCCCCTCTCCCTCTGGCCACCATGCTTTATATAACAGGACCCAGATGATCTTCCACAAGCGTTTTCTGAAGCTGTCTCATGTGCTACCACGTTAAACCTGTGGCCAACTAAACCCCCGGTTCTCCTTCATCAGAGCTCTCCCATGCTGCGCTTACATAAGGGATTTTTTTAAAGCCTAAATGTAGAATTTTATATTTATTCCTTTTAAATGTCATCTTGTTGGATTTTGGCTCATTATACTTGCTTTTCAAAAGCATTTTGAATCCTGACTCTCTCACCCAAAATATTACCATTCTTTCCAGCTTGTCTCTAGAAAAATCAGAGCATGCCCTCCAAATCTCCACCCTCCAAATCTCCAGCCCCCTCCACTGTCCCTTTGATTGGGGACCTGTGTCTTGTCTTCCCTGGTGGGGCAGCTGATCTACCTGGGCAAGTGGTTCTCCTCCCACCCCAGCACCTCCCCAGCTCCTCAGAACAGGAGGACGGGGAACAGAAGAGTGAACTTTCACTAACTAGAGACAGGCATTCATCAACATTGGAAAAACTCAACCCTGGGGGATGAATTTCTTTGTTCCTTTGGTGAAGTCTGGAATAGGAAGTATCTAGTGGGGGACAATAAGGTGATAAGGACTCTGGGGACAGTCCGTGAGGGAGAGTGGGAGGGGCTTGTCCTTCACCTCAGGAGAGGGCCTGCCTCTGGTCCTGGTGAAAGCGTGACAACTGAGGTGGGAGAGGGGGAGGAGGTAGGGGAGCAGGGGCACATGAGAAGGGGTGGGGAGCACTCAGGAAGAGCAGGTGAAATCAAGGCTCAGCAGGAAGGCCCAGGGAAGAAGGTTGAGGCACCTGCCGTGGGAGAAGCCAACAGAGGCACTGCCCTGGCAGCAAGGCTGAAACTCCAGGCCCCTGGCCCCGTGGGTCTCCACCGGTTGGCCACCTGAGACCATGGCTGATCCTAAACCTTCACTAATGGGGAGAACCTGACCTCACAGGTGCCTTTGGAAGGGGCTTCTATTTCCCCAGTCTGTGGAAATTCAGGGAAACTGAGGTAGAAGTGAGACCAGGTGTCAACCTTTC